ACTGTATTGACCTCGCTATCGCTCGGTCAATACGGCAAGGCCTCAGTTTGAGATTTTCCCGTAACGACCTCACTCTCGGTTATTAAGTAGTTAATATTTTACACATTTTTGCACGTGAAAAAAATATGATAGGAGATAATGCGTTGTTTTAGAATTGGTACTTCTTAAAGGTGAAAAAAAATTCAAGCCATGCCCTCAAAACAGGATCTTGGTATCTCTTAGGGATTCTTTTCAAAATTTCTGATGAGCACCCCCGTCCTTTTTATATGGGTGTGCCCCCCCCCCCAATCGGGTTTTTTCTATGCTGTAAAATGGGGCCGAGCCTAAATGAACGATCAGTTTCCCCCAAGCCATTTTAATGATTGTGTAAAAGTCCTTTGCCCCATCCAGGACCAAATCCTGTCTGCAATAATATTTCTCTACTTGGTCTAATTTATGAAGTGAATCATGTTAGCTTCAGCCCAGTTGACAGCTGATGAAGAGTTTGGAGGTACAGCACTTCTGGAAACAGTAGACACTACCTATAGGCTAACAAGCAAACGGTTGTTGGAGATTTTCTTCTCTAAGTACAAGTTCCTTGACCATTTGAGGGTAAGTTAAACATGATGCATTATGATCATGGTAGAAATAGTTACTGTAGGATCTAATTTGCTACACACAGCAATGGACTTGGGATCATGAATCAATACAGAACTGTAGCCCATCAGGTAGTTACTATGGGTATAAGAAGTTTAGAATAAGTCATGAATGTGTTGTGAAACCCTAATTTATCTCGTTTAAGGAAGGTCTTCTTTGTGGAATGCCAAAACTATTGTACACTATTGATACTCCATGAAATTCCACTGGAACTTTTGAGCAAACTTTTGTCAAAAGTTTGCAAGAACAAAGATCAAAATTTGTGCATTTCACTTTGCTTGCTTTTACACAATTCTGTATACTCTACATGCATGTGATACTGCCAGAGAATATAGTGCAGAGTTTATGTTTATAAATCATGGGTGACAGATTACTCCTAATTTTGGCACAAAATTTCAGTGTAAATTTACAATTTCACATGTGAAATTACAAAATTGCCCTGGCAGCATGTGGCATGAAATTGAAAAATCCACGATTGTAAGCGCAATTTCTCACCCAGGATATATTTGGGGAGGGGTGGGGGTAGCATTTAGAAGATCTTGAAGAACATATAAATATTTTCTCATAGGCGCTGCGACTCTATCTTCTTCTGGGACAAGGAGATTTTATCAGGCATCTTATGGACCTTCTTGAGTAAGATGACATTTGTTGTTATCCAAACATTAGAAAGTACATGTAACAAGGTCTTCCACAAGGAGGGAAACAAAGGAAAATCATGTAATATTGCTGGTTTTACTATAATCATTTCATTTTAAAAGCAAAGTTGAACCACAGCATATACAGGCCAATTTTTCTCAGTGTATTGACATATTTTTAGTGAGAATTAAGATGTAGATCACTCCTGATCAGGGCCCACAAAAAGTGCTGCCTGTCCCGCTGGGGCAAGACGATTTTCTGACTCGCCAGGGTTTAGTGTTAGTTGTTTGCTAGTCAAGTCTTAAAAAGGAAAGCAAAACTAGGCATGTCATTGCCCTGGGCAAGCAAAATTTGAGAGCTACTTGTCCGAAAGGAAAAAATATTTTTCGAGTCCTGCTGATGCTATCTTCTCTTCACTGTAGGTCGGACTTAGCCAAACCAGCCAGTACTCTGTACATGCACAACTTGACAGGTGTGTTAGAGACTGCTATAAGGGCTACCAATGCACAGTATGCAGACCCTGAGATCATTGAAAGACTGGACTGTCGACTGCTTGAAGTATGTCAGCCAAAGTTGTTATAATTTTTTTTTTTGCCGCATTTGAGTCTGTAGTTATACAGTCCAGGGCTGTCATTGAGTTTTGACTCACCTGTAGCCCTGATCTTCGCCCATGACAAATTTGGCACTTCATGGTCTCAACTACAGCCAAGTTCACCCGTAACAACAAGGGTCCATCAAGAATGCTCAGCCGTAACAGGTGCTATAGGTTAACACTTGTCTCCCTTACTGACAGCCCTGTAAAGCCCAGCTCCTAATTTGCTGTAGCTCAATGCTAGAGCAGTCAGACTGAGCTTTTATTGTAGCTGAAACATCACAAAAATAATTTGGAGAAACTGTTGATAGAGTTGCTCCCAGCTTTCTTTTAACATCAAGACTGCAATAAACGCTGATACTTAAAAGCCAATCGCATCCATAATATATGTCATCTCCAGTACAGTTAAATCTATGCAACTGNGAACCAAGTGCACTAGTTGGTAGAGAAAACCTCTTCCGCTAGGATCCTTGATTCACTTTTTTATACCGGTTATTATTTAAAAGTTATTTCACGCAGTGAATTAATAATTATGGGTTTTATTGTTGGTCAGTAACTTTTGCAAAGTTGGTGGCTTCTAAAGGAGCCAATTGTGAGAAGCTGAGAGAGGGAAGCTTCACTGATAGAACCAGCCATCAAACTTCTTTGGTAATAGGGGACCCTCTCTTCCCAGCCCCCTTCCCTAACCTGGTATTTAAGATACCAAATCTAGGTTGAGCTGATTTGTTGAGCTGCCTTGTTGATATAAATTTCATTGATACCTTTTCTTTCATCGGTGTCAGGTTTTGGAATGTTGTTGGGCAGATCTGAAGAAACAAGTAGAAGAAGCCAGTGACTTGGATCATATTATTGCAGCACATGAGACATTCCTGGACCAGGTGCTTAACCGTTGCTTGTTGGATGCGGAGTCAAGAGTAAGTCACTTTCTTTATGGACTCTGCAACCGCCTTGTAAGGAATGTGATTAATCAAAATAAATAGCAAAACCAACCTTGTTATAACAGTCAGGCCTTGTTGAACTGTCCATGCTGCTGCCTCGATCCATCCAGGTTAGAGCGGTTTTCAATAAAGTGTCGTAAAACCAAACCAAAGTAATCACTTTAGCCAATCACAAAGAACATAGACAATACAGTGAACCAATCAAAACTCGAAGTAATTACATGCGGCTGATATAAATCGCGGGAAAACGTGTACGAGCGAGTCATGATCGGTTTTGGTTTTGCTTCTGATTGGATGAAAAAGTGGCGCGAGTTTTTTAGACCAATTGTGTGGCGTAGTAAGTGCAATACCGATTACTTTTCGACACTCAGGTGAAAACCACTCTGTAAGTGGCATACATGTGTATGTCTGGCTATTGCTTGTCGGGAGACGACCAGCATCAACTTTGATTGTTTTTGCTACTACTGGTTCCTCCCCAGGCCTGGCTGGGCAAAAGTTAAATTGAGATCCGACTAAATGAGACTGTCGAGTTTTGTAAGCAAAGTCTGGCTTTGAGGTGTTGTGCTTAGCCTAATTATCTCATGCAAATTATGTCAGTGTTTTTTTTTTCGGCGTTGTGGAATTTGCATTTGTTACGGTAGTTCAGTCAATTATTATCCAACTGCAGCGAATACCGTCCAAATAACAGTACAAATATATAGAGGATATTACACGGTGGCGAGAAGATATGAATTTTATGTCCGAGTGGCAAGAACAATATCTCACTCGT